ACATTAAACTACAAATATCTGTATCGGATTGGAGGTGAAAAAAGTGGATCGGTGCATCCCTAGCTCAGACTCTGGTCTAAAATCTACTGAACCATAATGCAGCAGATGTTTCTAAAGTCAAGTAGGCGGCTGCAGTAAAGTAATGTGTCAATGATGGCCATTATTATGTCCTGAATGAACTAGATATATCTGTAAAACCAAAACAAATGGTTGTTTTAAGGGCTTTTCTTTGTAAAAGATGTGTTTGCATCACATCTGTTGTTATCTGTTTTGTTCAAACCTGTTTCCACTGACCCTGTTTGCATAGTACTAGTCATGCCTTTAAAATTTGGTTCTTCCTGCTCCTTTCCGGACTGATATGCCTAGATTACAGCGTAAGTCAGTCTGGATTGACAAGCTACAAGCATACTTTAGCCATACTAATCAAAATTACAAAAAGAAAGGAAAGACTTTGCATATTTATTTCTATGTCTAATTAAACTATTTAGGGCATGAGTTTCACTCATGGGACTGGGTTATTTCCCCCTGTGGGAAATAAACATTTCCTTTATAGACAGAACTTACAAACTCCTTACAGAAAGCCTTGCACGACCAACTTTCCAGTACACAATCTTTTTATTCTTTCTTTCTTTTTTTTCCCACTAAGTTCAAGGGCCGCTTAATGCATGGAGTCCTCAAAGTGGCCACATGATTCTAGACTGTCTGATGATTGTTACATCTCAAAAGTCCTTCCTTTATTTTCCTAAAATTCCCCCTTCAGTACTTCTCCTTTTCACTGACATGTACTCTGTGTCTAAAATGAGCTCTGCTGTGGGGATTTTTAGCAGCTGTGTCTCAGGGGTGTCCTGATGTTAGATCTATGAGTTCACAAAAGGATCTGATGCTCTCTTTCTTGAGTGCACATATTTAAAGATTTTCTCGACCACAGTTCACATCATGCTCAGAGGCAGTAATCCTGTCTCTCAGGAAGCATACACAAACCCAACTGAGGAATGTGCTTTACAAATTTAACTGCGCGTGACACCATGTGGGTCAGTTTCAGTTCCCTGCTACACTTATAATATTTACATACTCTAATAGGCTAATAAAATGTCCCTTTTAAGCATCTGATTAACACTAGGAAGACATCTGATCTTCCTTGTTTCTATTCTTTAAAAATTGTTATTTCTAAGCAAACTTTTCCTTGTATTAAAAGGAAAAGTCTGCTCCATGTGAGCTAAGTTGTTGCAGCTGGTGTTTGACGTGAAATTGACTATTTTATGAAAACTGTTGTCAATTTGCAATTATAGCATTTTGGAAATAATAATGAACCCCTATGTTTTGTCCAGAAGGCTAATGATAAATGAGCTAAAGGAGAAGACAAAGTGTCAGTCATTTCTGTCAATGAGTGTATGGCTGAATGCCCAGGGCAGCATCCTAACAAAAAAAAACAGCAACTGTACTTTGAAAATTGATCCATCATTTGTACTCTTAACAGTCTTTATATTGCTGATCAGTGCGTACCCAGCTGTGTTGTCTTATCATACTAAATATTCTAGTAGTTCAATGCAAATTTCTAATGATACAAGCTGCTCTCTGATTCTAAACCTCTAAAAGGCAACAGAAATGGATGAAATAGAAATTTTGCCTCTATTATATTCTCACAACTCAAACACTGTGACAAGCCAGCCTATTCAGTGATGTGTTATTTAAAAGTGCTAATGGATTTAAGAACTACCCACCTGCCAGTAAGTACATCAACCAGATGGTTTAGAGAATATTATTATCTGTTTTCTTTTATTGTACCCCCCTGCATTTTATAGTAGGTTAGTTTAAACGTAAAATGGATTTTCCGACACTGGTTACAGACTGATAAAAATGTTTGATTTATGAAAAAAGATAAACTGATTCTTTATTTGTGGATTAGGAGGAACTGTAGTTTAATAGAAGAAAAAACGATATCCCCTTCATTATGCAGTGTTTAAAAAATGAGAGTCTTGCCCAAGATGCATTTTCAGCAGGAACTGTCAATGGTCTCAGTAGTTGGAAATCAGGTTACCAGGTGGCCCTTTTCAGTAAAAACTAATTAGTTTCAGTAGAAACTAGTAAGAAAAAATTCTGCGCTAGTTATTTCACAGACTGTTTCTTATCTGTTTCTACAGATCATGACAAATTTTCTCCTTCGCATGTCCTCCTCTGTCTGTGTACATATAGATCAGAGAGGTGGAACTGGCAGTATGCTCTTTTAGCAGCATCTATGCACCCCCTGTGCAAGGGTGTAGGAATATGTTTACAATTGGGGGGGAGACATGTCGGAAATCTGAGATTCTTAAATATTCAACAGAAACATATCTTAAGTACGCTACTTAAAAAAAAGGCTATTTAATCTTTTACTTTATTCTTTTATAAATGTGTCTTGCTAAAATAATGCATTTAAAATTTACATAATGCATTTGTTCATAAGATGTGAGCATATCACCAAACAAAATGACTGGAGTCTTTTATTAAGCAAAGGGAGATGTCTTTCAAGGGCTTTAGCCTTTGGCATGTTTAGTGTCCGCATACGCACTAGAAAATCAAATATTTCAGTTGGATTAAAAAGAATTCAGTAGGCAACAAAAGCGCAAAGTCTGATATGTTTTATTTTGTCAAACTTGCAATAATGGTCAAAAATGAATTTATATAGGTTGACAGTGTGTTGAAGAATTATGGACAGGGCACTTTGAAGCATCTGGATCAAAAACGCATTCTAAACCTTTGGTAGAAATCTATCTATCCTTCCATTTTCTGTACACCCTGTCCCTTAGTGGGGTTGGGAGGTGCTGGTGCAGGGTACACCCTAGACAGGTCTGTCCAGACCTTTGGTAGAAATGGCGCCTTTAATTCCAGTTTGCAGTAGAGAACAGAGAAAACTACAGAGTTGTCAATGTTGTGTTAATCTGGTTATAGTCTAAAAAGAGGAGCCAGCAGTTTATTTGAAGAAATAAAGGTGCAGAAGTTAATTAGTTGGTTAACCAATGCAGCTGCCGCTGCTAAGAATTAAAATTAACTCTCCCTGTGGTTTTAACTAACAACCAGGAGCGCGTCAGGTATAACATCTGTCCATTTCGGTGAAGCAAAACCACACAAAAAATAAAAAATCCTCGTAAAACGCACGCCCAGACCGGGCTAATTTCAACACAAGGGCAACAAGGGCAACACCTTGTGTTATGTGACTGTTACTCACACTGACATTTCTCTTTTTAAAAAAGCTGAGTAAGTCCTGCTGCTGTTTCAGCCTTTTAGTTGGTGGTGGCATTGTACTGAAATGAGATCTAAAAAAAAAAAAAAAAAAAACATTTTGGCTAGCGTAGCAAACGTCTAGATAAAGTTAGCAGTTAAATATTGGATGAGTGATCATCCTAAGACTATGGAAGAGGATTAGGGCCACTGAAAAAAAAAAGTTTAGTGATTTTTAAATTTTCTTTCAATTTAATATGATACGAGAAAAAAAGTCAGAATTCTGACTTTTTGTCTCAGAATTCTGTCTTAGAATTCTGACTTTTTTCTCAGAATTCTGACTTTTTTTCTCAGAATTTTGGATCTTAATGTAGATGGGCACCATGAAGGAAGAGATGTGGAGCACTCAGCTTCACTGACAAAGATTTGAGTTGTTTGAGGTGGCCAGTGACACAATGGTGGAAAATGACAGAATTAGGCAACTTTTTACGTGCCCGAGGGGTCCCCTCATTAATGGAGTAGCAGAAGGTCATTAAAAAAAGAGAGCTAGTCTCTAAAAAAGACATGGCTATGGCTTGATACTAACATGTTTGTTAGCTGTCAGAATTCTGACAAAAAAGTCAGAATTCTGAGATTAAAGTCAGAATTCTGAGAAAAAAGTCAGAATTCTGACATTAAAATCAGAATTCTGAGAAAAAAGACAGAATTCTGACTCTTTTCCCCATGTTAAACTGATTTTTTTTTTTAAATCAGTTAACTTTTTTTTTTTTCAGTGGCCCTAATCCTCTTCTGTACAAGACTAAGATGACTAAACCAAAAAGATTCAGTTTCTATATATGAAAGTGAACTGACAACAAGACGTTATAAATAGGCAATATTCATAGCAGCATCCCGACAGACCATTTTACCTCATTCACAAGTTTCTGACTTCTGTGTCGCCGTTTCCCTCCCTTCTGAGTGCTCAAACACTCAGCAGATTAGAGAGGGGAGGGGGAGTACAGTGACCTAACGCTATGCTGCGCCTTCAAAATAAAAGCACGCTCGTAAAAAAATGTCAAAATCTAATATTTTGCGGTAGAATTTTTTGGGGGGGACATATCCACTTGGCTTTTTTATTGGGGGGGACATGTCCCCCCCGTCCCCCCCCCCCGCTTCCTACGCCGCTGCCCTGTGTCATACCTTTACTTTGCTTTGTCCCCCCTAGTATTTGTGACCTCATATTCTCCATGACAGTCAGTCGTTTAGTCTAAGACTGAAGCAATTAACTGGAAAAATCGTGATTAATCAATTATTAGGATAATCGTCAACTAATTTAGTAATCGGTTAATTGTTAATAGGCGTGTAGAGACTGTAAAACATGCCTGTAGCTGACACAGCAACCCACATACAACAGTAATTATTTCCAAATTGTAAAAAAAAATATATAAATATTTTGAATTTAAAATTGTTCTGGTTTACTTTTGTAAAAAATCTTCCATAAGGAATCTTTGGCTATCCAATTATTAATCGATTAATCTGAATTTTTGGAATAAAGACATTAGATAGTATTTTATGAGGACAGCTAAAGCTGTATGAATACATTGTGTGGATTACAAGGCTGTATTGTTCCCTGTTAGTCTAACTGTCCTTCTCAAGCCAACTTCTTCCTGTTCACTATAACCATACCCCACATACACACACAGCAAAAAAGCATTCTGAACAGACTGCAGTGATAACTTTACCTAACAAGAACTCATTTTGAACTTGTTGAACAGCTTAAAGTTCACAGCTGCGGTGCTTTAATCGTTACTCTTCTCTTCCAGGCGGAGTTGACGGGCATCAAATGGCGCTGCTACAGCTTCTGCAGCGGCGGGGAATACGGGCCCGTGATCTCGGCCCCGGCTCAGGATGACCCAGTACTGCGCAGCTTCATGCAATGTGTGCAAGCCAACCTGCTGTGTGTGTGGCGACGCAAGATCAAGCCCGATGCCAGGGAGTTGTGGATCTTCTGGTGGGGCGAGGAGCCCAACCTCTCTAAAGTCATTCATCATGAGCTGAAAGGTAAGAAAGAGAGGGGGGGAAAGGGTGACAGAGATGAAGGATGAGGCTCGCCGCTCTGCTCTATCCGTCTCAATTATTTTTTCATCCCATCGGTCTTTACCTCAGCTTCTATTGTGCCTTAAAGTTTGGGATAGAGGCTTGTATATGCAGCATAATTTGATAGCTACTCTTTATTACTCTGAACTGACTTGTATAGACTGGGGAAATATTACATGGGATACAGCTATATAGTGGTTTCAGTGTTTTTCTTTTTAAATGAAAACCAGCTGAAGACATATGAAACAAAGCTGTATACCAGACATGAGTACCAAATAGATCTAAGCATTAAACTGTGTCTGTACATAATACAGTACATGAGCTGCAAAGGCCAACATTATAGCAGAGTCAATATTCAAGTTATTTAGTTGACTGCAGATTTGAGCTGCCGTGCCATTTGTTCACAATGCTCTGATCACATTGATCTGTTTTCTATGCAGTGCGCCTCTTTTTGAGGCTCCTATGGCATAAATGTGAAATGTGTTTGGTTTGCAAACTCAAGCCTTTTTGTGCTGCTTCAGGAGTATCGCTATGATAGCGACAGAGTGGACCCCCCCCCCCTCGCTACTGCTTACCAGATACCTGGATTTGTGCCTATGCGTGTTAGTGAAAATTACACTGAGATATCTCAATATGGAGAGTGCTACTGTCAGCATTATTGTCCCTATTTATAGAGACATTTGCATTATCTCCCTGTGCACGTGTACTTGCTGTCCAACATATCGACCGAGACAGAGGGAGAGAGGGAAACAGGAGAGGGATTATAATGGGCTTGGTTTTGCAGAACAACAGCCAGGAGGGGAAAACAGGTATATTGGTTTGAGAGGTTGAAGCATCAGTTACCTAATAAGCTGACTTGATGTGAAAAGGCCTCTCAGGGGCTGCAGTAAGTATTTGCCAAATGTTCTAACTGCTGCTGCAGGGAGAGAGCCCTTTACTCTGTACAAATGAGCTGCAGAGAGTTATATTTGCACCAAGCTGTACTTATGTACAAATAAGTGCACCATCCTGTGGTGGTTCACAATGGCCTCCCTGAATTATGTATTTTGTTGTACTTATTGATTTTTAAAGATCCACCCGGGCTACTAACTGTCACAATAACCCAAGTAAGTCATTGTGGTGAAAGAGGGAGGCAGTGGTTAGATTTTGAGAGCAAAAACTTCATTACCTGAAACCATAAAACGAAAATGTAGGAGTGTGAAATTTTAGCGTTACCTCACCAATTTATGAGCTGCTAATGGCTGCCGAAAATATTGATTATGACTCCCTTTGAGGTCCAGTGAACTTGATAATAACTGAGACTATTCAATTACATTTTATGGCTATTGATTTGGAAATGCTGCTGTTGTGTCACTGCTTTCAGAAGTGTGATTTTATTTGTCTGTTTATTCATAAAGATGTCATCAGTAGATTGGTGTTACAAAGATTTTATTTGTCTCCATGTCTCATTTTTATGTTACTAAAGAAATGTAGTGTTTTGCCACAACAACAATGTATTTAAATCTTTTTTCTTTTTTTAAATCCCATTATGGCTGCAGTGTTCAGATAAAAAAAAAAAAAAAAAAAAAAAAAAAAAAAAAAGATATATATATATATATATATATATATATAGCTGCCTGGAAATAATAGTACTAAATAAAGTAAAGGCGTAATGTAAATAAAGTTACATTACGCCTTTGTTTGGTATTCTGTCTAACACCCAAATTACAATTGAAATGCTTTTAGAGTATATACATTGGCTCACACTTAAGATAGGGCCTGGTTGTATTTGCATTGACCATTTAGGCTGTTGTTTTTTTATTTTATATGCAAAACATTTGTTAAACATTTGAGATTATAAAGAAAAAACTTTATTTATGAATAGTTCTGCTGTACATTTGACCAATAATTGCAGCAATCAGAGCTTTCTGCAAGAGCTATAATCTCTATAGTTAGGATCAGAGGTGATGTTTCATTGTCTGTAAATGAAAAAGTTATTGCAAAACTGGATTTTATATTTAGATTAAAAATAGTTACAAAAAAAATATACATTTGAGTTTTGCTGGGTCCACTGATTCCAACATGTGCTATTAATGATTAGCAGGGTAAGCATTGCTAAGTGTAAACGGCTATCTCTGTTTGTACAAGCATCAGAGTATAAACCTACACCTAAGCTTTGGGTTTTTTTAATGGCTGCTAACATATTCAGAAATGCTTCATGGCAGACAAAATGGAAGAGTTAAAAAAAGATGAAGCAGAGAAACATTTGCTGTATTTTGTCCAGCCTTCTTCTTGACTTCCACTTAGCTACCTAATTCATGATCTCTCTTACACAAAAAAAAAAAAAAAAAAAAAAAAAAAAAATGGAGATGTCAAACTGTTTTTTCTTACAGAGCTCCTTTAATGTTTAAGGTTTTTTTAATCACCTCACATATATCGAAAAGCTATCTGTTACATTTCTTCCCTCAGTTTCAGCAGTCTTCACTGAAGTTAGTTACTGCAATTTGTTTGCCCTCAGATATGGTACATTTGCTGAACTAAAACAAGATTGGATATTTGAGTTTCTGACCAGCTAGTTTTGTTGAGAAAACTTTGCGTGACACGTTTCCCCAAACACAGGGTATCTGTGATCTTATTAAGTTTTATGATACTCAAGAGAAATGTCACCTCATCTGAAAAGTGTTGCAGAAAACAAGTGTTACTAGAAAACTGTTCTTTAGTATTTGCACAAATGTTTCTTTTGGAGAAATGCTTTAAAATAAAACAGGTGCAAAAACACCTACACACTCACACAGATGCACAGACATGAACATTCCTCCTTCAAGACTGCTTCAGTTATTATGTAAAATCTCAGTGGCATTTTTTTTTTAATAACTCTCCTTATGTGCAGAAAATAGCACTTAGGGTGTAAACGGGACTTTGTAATTGTTAATTAAAGAGAATCTGTGTTTTCTCCAAATTAGAATCATTTGTAATCCAGGGAATATTAGTGTTATATTAGATCTCAGGAAGCTGCACATCTAAACATCTATTCGCTTTACTTGACTCTCTCTCTTGCAGCTTTTGCCGCATGATCTTATGATCCTTGCTCTTCATGGGATTTTTCCTGGTGTCTTGAAGGTTCCTTGCTTCCTTTTTATTACAGCTGGATTTCTAACTGACTATTTAATAACTAATATAACTAATATTTATACATTTTTATGCATGAAATAATTAACTGTTGTTTCAGTGTTCTGAGAAATCTGAGATCCTCTAGACAGATATTTAGAGCGTTTGCCACGAGATATACATCAGCTACTGGGAGAGGTTGCATCAATTACTGTTCATTGTTTTCTGTTTATAAAGATAAAAGGGTTTTCAGATCGAATATCCAGAGAAACCAGATGTAACAAATTAATGATTGTTGTTGCTAATCGATCCCATATCCACACACAAATAGTGTGAGTTAATTCCTGCGACGGAGACGCTCTTCCATTCAGAAACGAATGGCTGATTTATGCAGATTTGACAGAACGGCAACAGCTGTCGCTGTGTGAATAATTAGCAGCCCGTTTCATGTTTTGAGTCATAAATGGAAATTAAAGCAGTGCGGATTTCTGTGTGAGAAGGCAAGGACTGATGTCCGTCTGGAAAATATTCTGAAGGTTTAATTGCCCAGTTATTGATAGGATGTTGCTTAACACATGTGTGAAATGAGTCTTCAGAAATTTACACAAGAAAAATTTTTTTGTCAGTGAAGTATATGACTAAAATAATAGCCTGGTCTGCCATACTGACATGTATTTACACCTTCCCAATATACAACACATTGACTGCAGTTGTGTCTCTACCTACTTCCATTTCATAACCGTCAGTGAATTATCCTAATGAATGTGTATCAGAGTATCTTACTTTAGTTAAAGATTTCTATTAAATATCCCAACTTGGGCCAGTCTCCCATAAAAAAAATATGAGGCTTTATGACCCCTGATTAAACCAAAAATTACTCATGAAATCTCCTTCCTATTACATATATTTATTGAGATCACATAACCACATGCCAGACTGAGTATTGCATAGAAAGTTATTTAACCAATTATTTGTTTAAGAGAAAGAAAAACAGGGTTAGGTTTGTGAGAACATTCAAGCAATGGCTTGACTGTAGGGATGCACGATATAATCGGCCTCCTATCGGTATCGGCCTGTATCGGCCTTAAAACTGAATATTGGACATCGGCCACCCCACCGATATTCAACCCGATATTTGATCAGCTTCTGAGTTTCTAAAGTCTAAAAAAAAAAAAAATACTACTTCTTCTTCTTCCTCAAAAACTTATTTTTTTACAGACTTAAAAACTTCTAAAGACAAGGGAAAAAATATTGATACAGTAAAATATCACAATATCCTTATATGCTGATATATTGCCATTTAAAAACACCATATCAATCTCTTTTACTAATGAAATATTGCTATATGTCATCGTTATGCTACGAAATCCCCCGAAAATTCACTAAATTTTGCCATATGTTTATGTCAATATATCAACATTTATATGTTGATATATTGACGCGGTATCGACCTATTTTACTAACAAAATCTCACAAGAATTTGCTAAATATCATATTTGATATTTGAGTATATCATTTATTAACGTTTGCAGGGCTTTGAAAAACAGCTTTTGAATAAAAATGGATTGGACCACCAACTTCATGTGGTGGGGGATTAAAGGGCTCAGATGATCCCAGATGAAACCAGAGGCTATGTTTTTGACACTGTATTGGTCTCTTATGTTGAAGAGAGAGCTGATCGTAAAGGCAAAGCTCTTGATTTACTGGTCAGTCTGCATTTCTCCCCTTACCTATGCATAAAAGCATCATGTTAGAAAGCAGAAGCTGGAAGAGGCACAGAGTTGAGCCACTTCTCCTTTACATGAGAGGACTCAGATGAGGTGGCTCAGACATATTTTTCAGATGCTCACATGATGCTTCCCTCGAGAGGTGTTTTA